TGTCTTTCTGAAGTCTCATTTGCTTTCCCAATGTTCCACATGCATTATGGCTATAAAGAAAGGAATTGTGCTTTTTGAATGTTGGGGATGACCTTTATGTTGGATCAAATTAGTCTACTTTAGAGGTAATAAGAGTCAGCACCAAGGTCAGGAACAGCAGCAAAACTGGGAGCAGGGAGCTGGGTCAGCATGACAACAAGAGACACTTGCTCACAGATGAGCAAACTAAGAGGACTTGACTAGAACCTAGGTTCCCAACCTGGGATATGCCAATCCCCAGGGGCATAAAAAGCTTGTCAGGAGGGTATGGGGTCTACTTGATAAATAATTATATAATCCCATCAAAATATTTCAAAAGGAGTAGTGTTAGTGGGGGGGGGAAACATGGAGTAGAAGAACAGTGAGAAAGTGGGAAATTGAGGTATAGCATCTGAAAAATTTGAAAATGACAGTGAGGGAATAATTCCTAGTGACAAAAACTAAATAAATGAGGTTTGGATATGAAATGTTTTTCATACTGAGCTAGAAAAAAATCAGCAAGAACAAGCCAGTGAAAGATGAGCTCACTGATCTCTGCAAGAAGCAGAGAAATGTTTGGTGTTCCCTTGCAGGAGTGTGTCCCATTCTTACTAAATGTTCTCACAAAGCTTTAATTCTGTTTTTAATAATTTATCTCTATAAATCAAGATTATCAACACTCAGTAATCAAATCCAAAGCAAGAATTAAACTTGACACATCAGAACCTTAAAAATACCAAGAATAAATCAGGGGACAAGAAATAGGACCGAGGGTCTCACTAATTTATTTTGACTGTGTTTTGATAAAAATTTAAATTTTTTATGATACTAAAATGTTATGCGCAGAAATAATCTTTCTTTGTGAAAAAAATAATGTATTTTATTTCTTATTGCATTTGCAAGATAAATGCTAGAATTCATTTCCTTTCCTACTGAATAGGGGGCATGGGAAGGATACAGGGACCAAAAGAATTTGGGAACCCCTGGACTAGAAGATTTCCAAAGTACCTTCTATTATCTATGGCATTCTATGTTTAAAGGTATTTTACAATCATTAATCTCAATATCTTACTTTGAGAAATTGAGAGGAAGCTCTTTCCTGGTATTTCCAACTCCACTCCATGAATTCACATATGGGGCTTCAGGATTTTTTGCTTTTGTTTCTGACTCTTGCTTTTTGGGTGGCCCTAAATCCTACTATCTGTGTTGTTCTGCCTCTCTAAGCAGTTCACTTCCTTTCATCTCCCAGCCCAGAACCACAGTACTTTGAAGATTGAAAGCTGCGTCTTTTCCTCATAATCAGGATGGCTGCCTAATGCCTTCCTCCTCAGGGCCCATACGAACAAAGTCTCTCAGACAACCAGCTAGCTCATCATTTCATTGTGAGGTGGGCTTGGGTCATGCTTCATCACAATGAGAGGCAGCATGGTATAATGGGGAAAGCAACAAATCTGAGATCCCAACCTGTGTCCTACATCCCTAATCTTGCACTAACTAGCTGTGTGACCTTGACTTTGACAGCCAGGAGTGGGGAACCTGCAGCCTTGAGGCCATATGTGGCCCTCTAGGTCCTCAAGTGCATCCCTTTGATTGAATCCAAACTTCACAGACCCTTTAACTTGACCCTTGACTCTGTACCTACCTTGGTTTCCTCATCTATAAAATGAGGTAAGATCAGCAAGGTCTCTCCCAATTCTAAAGCCTATGATCCTATGATGTCTAAAAGGAAGCAAATAAGGTAATATTTGCAATTAGTGTGCTTAGCCCAATGCCTTGCACATAGTAGGTACATAATAAATACTTGTTTCCTTCCATCCTTCTTTCCTTCCTTCCTTTCTTCATTCATTCCTCAGCTACAGAATAGTAATTGGGAATTCTTTCAGAAAATGTTTGAGGTGAGGGTAACAGCAGATCAAAAGACCCCTCAATTTTAAGTATAATTGCACTGAGAGGAAGGGTAGCCCACTCCCTGCGAGCTCAGCCTTCTCTCCTGTGAAAGTTAGGGGGGAAGATGTTTCATGAGCAAAAGGCGATGATGGACCCCTGGGGCTAATAGGTTATGGCTGGGCAAGGGAGAAGGTTTGGCTCAGATGATGCACTCCAGTAAAAGACTGCAAATTCTCCTTTCAGACTATCAAAAGAAGAAAGTCTGCCAGCCTTCATGTCTCTCTGATGTAAAACCACAGTTACAGTTCTGCCCGGTCAGGCTGCAGACTCACAGACACTTCACACTGCTCTCAGTCCCCAGCTAGGCCAGAGGTCTGGAAGGCCGGTTGTTCAGCCCTCCCTGTACACCCAAGGAAAGCTTGTTTCTACCTTCCCTACCCTGCGGCTAAGATCACGAATACTTCATGCGGCTCTTTGGATTTAATAGCTCACATGGGCGACTATCTGAATTACTGCCTTTTATTTTATGACTAAATTAATATTATATACACAAGAGCACATTTAAAACACCCAATAGAGTAAAAGAAATGATGACTATGTTGAAAAATATAAATTTTGATGCCCAGGAGTTAGACATGTGTGCTTTCGCTGGGCCCATTAAATTGCACACAGTGAGATTTTTCTCTTCCCTTTGACCTTTATTTTCAGACGCTTTGGTGAGTTCTCTTAGCGCTTTAATAAAATAGTAATTCAGTCATGCTTTTTATGGGCCACTAATTTGTCTGTGTTCACAATATATTGGGTTTCATAACTTTTATATGCAAATCAATAAAAAAAAACAACCTTTGCTATCTTATTTAAATCATTGAATAATTAACCAGGCCCAACTCTTCCCCCACCCCCAGCCCCTATTTCTAAGCTAAATCGTGAAAGAGGAAAATGTTGCTTCTAGGAGTTAATATAAAGTGGAGCAAACATCCATTCCTAATTTCGAACACAGTAGGGTCCTGTCATGAGACCCTTCATCAAGTAACCTCGTAGAATCCTAGAACCACAAGTCCTTAGATTCTCAGGCATGGGAGAAGTCAATCAGCAAACATTTAAGTGCTTACTATGGGTCAGGCACGGAGTCTCCAATCCAGCTCTCCATTCGGGAGAGGAATGTCCTCTGCAGCCAGACAGAGTATCCTCTAGGTTCATTTCCAGGGATGAGGAGCTCACTACCTATTCTATCATTCTTGGACAACTTTGTTTGAATCAAAATCCTTTACAACTAGACATAGCACCATTGATCTGGAGGTAGAAGGAACTTTAGAGGTCATCTAATTCAACCACTTCATTTTATAGATGAAGACCTGAGACTCAGAAAGTCTCAGTGACTTTGCCTAAGGTTACACCAACAATAAGTAGAGGAGCTGATATTCACACTCATGTCCCCTAACTCCAAATCCACCATTGTACCACACATTACTTTATAGTCTTCAAAGTGATTTCAGATCAGGTATCTTATTTGATGCTCAGGATAGCCCTGAAAGGGAAATGGGATGGGGAGCATTTTCTTCATTTAACAGATGGGAAAACTAAGGCCCGAAGATATGAAATGATTTGTTCAAAACAAGCATGTGTATCCTTAGGGAAAACTGGTCTCTGTTCTATGAAAGATAAAAGATCTGGCAAAGGAATGCCTCTCAGCTCTCTAGTTCACTGGGGAGAAACAAGTATTACATAATAGGAAAGAAGAAAAGACCCAAGAGGAAAACAGAAAAGAAAAGACTCAGGGAAACAGAGGAGAATGCAAATCAGGGGTATAAAGAGTAGAAGGTCGAATGACTCGAGGCAGGGGAGGACAGATGAGAGGGCTCTCAGTGTTTAAGAATGTGGAATGTGCGGTAGATACAGACTCCTTCTCATAAAAGAAGTTAGCAGCTGCTAACAATCATGGCTGGTCTCCTACCTACATCTTGTCATCCCCTGAAAAAGAATAAAGGGGATTCACGGCTGCCACAAAGAACAAAGGTAACTGAGAAGACAAGACCTCTGGTAGTGGTAGTGGGCTACTCCCTGCTAGGGGCAAAGAGGATCATAGGTCAATCTGATGTAACCTGTCAGAAGATGGCCTCTATCTCTAGGCAGTATCTGGGGGGAGGGTTGACAGAATGGTCCCTGAGACTTGTCACACCTGAGGACTGCTACCCACTTCTGGTGATCCAAGTGCAGGTATGTTGTGCTACCATATAGAAAGAACTCCTGGGGATTATGAAGTCTTGGAAAAGAAATGGAAGAATCAGAGAGGTGGATGGGGGAGGGATATGGCAGAGAAAAGCTTATGAGGTTCAGAAAGGGATACAGAGGGGCAACTAGGTGGCACAGTGGATAGAGCACCAGCCCTGAATTCAGGAGGACCTGAGTTCAAATCTGACCTCAGACACATAACACTTACTAGCTGTGTGACCTTGGGCAAATCACTTAACCCTGTTTGCCTTAGTTCTTCATCGGTAAAGTGAACTGGAGAAGGAAATGGCAAACCACTCCAATATCTTTGCCAAGAAAACTCCAAAAGGGGTTGCAAAGAATCAGACACAACTGAAATGACTGAACAACAAGTAATGGAAATATTTCATGACAAGACAGTGTGGTAGAGTGAATAAGAGTGCTGGATTTGGAGTCAGAGGACCTGAGTTCAAATCCTGGTTCCATTAACTTACTACCCACAGCGTCTCTGTATGCCAGTTTCCTCATCTCTAATGAGGGGGTTGACCTAGATAATCTCTAAGGTTCCTTCCAGTCTTAAGTCTAAATACTGAGGACATAAAAAGAGAATAAAAGAAGTGAACAGCTGTTTGTGAATTTTGTGTCAGGGAATGTTATTTGACTTCTAGATCATAACATAAAATAGAGGCACACAATTTAGCAAATATTCATCAAGTGCTTCCTATATTCAAGGAACAAAGATCTCTTGACCAGTATGATGGAGTGGAAAAGATACTGGTCTGGGATCCCAAAAGCTCAGAGTTTAAATCTCAGCTCTGACCCTTCCTTACCGTGTTACTTTAGGCTAGCAGCCACTTCCTCCCCTAGGTCTCAGCTTCCTCATCTGTTAAATACTTACACTACCTAGGTAGCAAGTTCTCTAGCCTCCTTCTTCCAGAGCAAAGTTTCCAAGGTCCTACGGGTATCCCTGAGGGGTTGAGGGTGTTTCTTTCTAATGGGATTGAGTCAAGTCCCCATTCACAGTGTGTCCCTCTCACTATTAGTAACCAGTATCACTACTAGTACTCCAGTTCCATTTAACCAATTAACATCAATTTGCTTTTACAAAGGGATGTTTACTTCAAAGATATAAGAAGTACTAACATTTTACAGGGGCACAAGTTTCCCATACCACATCAGTCCTTGGGGAACGTAGACGCAGACTTAATGCAGCTTCTATATAACATTGGTCCTACCAACTTCATATTCAAATGCAATGTCTCTACTGGATGAATAATTGTCTCAGTTACCACAAGGCTAGGTCCAAAGGTTGAGACCCACTTCCTGAGTCTCAAAGTTGGACCCGTTGATTACAAATCCCAGAATGAATTCCACTTCTAGATCTGCCAATGGCTTATTCTCCTGATTTTTGATACTCACAAGGGAATGTCCTCCAATCTCCACCTAAAATGAAAGAACAAATACCAACACAAAGAATTATATTTATGGACCACATGTCATCCAGGGATGAGGGATGCCAGAGATCTCTCCCCTTACAGCATTATCTCTTATCGGAATACCAGCAAACTGGAAGAAGTCAGACTAAGAAAAAGATATTGACTGGGGTCTTTTAAAAGTACCCTCAGATCTAAATATGCATTTGCAGCCAATCAAAGAGTTTCCTATTCATCATGTAGTTTGAAGTCACAGAGTGTCCATGCATGCTGCCTCCAAATCTTTCCAAGGCCTTCTATCACACATTAGCATGATTCTCCCGGAAGCAAGTCTTCCAGACTCTTCCACATGGGAAATTACATCAATTGATCAAGCAGATTCATAAGACTGAGCTCGTTAGCTAATACCTGTACATCCTAACACAGGAGTATTATGAGGGAAGCACTCTATAAACTTTGGAGCACTTCAGAAATATGAACTGTTATTTGTATAGTTGTTTATTATGTTAAATGTATTTCCTTAGGTAATAGCTGACTTGAACAGGAAGGGTTGGGTTTGAATCCTAGCAATGCTACTTACCGCCTATGTTGCCTTCATGTCTCTAAGCCTCTGTTTCCCCAATTATAAAATGAAGGGCTTACAACGGCATGATCTCCAAAGCTCCTTCCGTTTGGAATTCTATGATTTTGTGATGCTGGTGGGGTAGATGGAAGAGTAGACACGTCTCCGAATTAAAAGAATGCTTCCTTTGGCACAGACATTGCACAAGACTAGCCTTCATTAAGATTGTCCCTTCAAAGCATTTTCCTGGATCTGCTCTTTCTTATCCTCTAAGCTCTGTATCATTCTGACAGCCCCTTCATTTCTCCTACCTAAACCTTTGGATCTGTACTGCCCCATAAACTGTGGTTAGGGACACTACAGCATTCTGCTTGTCTCCATGGATCCCACCTTGAAATCTAACTTCTGTCCCCTGGAGGTTTGTCTCCCTCCACCCAATTGCCCCATGAATTATCCATTAATACCACCCCTAAGAGGCAGGGCTCCAAAGCTAGGAGAATCCAATAACTAGAGGAAGCTAAATGTATGACACACAAAGAAGAAGAATAGGAAGGGGATAGAAATCATATGCATAGAATCAGATACTTGTACGTGAATGCAAAGAACATGCATATTAAATAAGTCGGATTAAATATATTAAAGCAGATTGGTAAATATGACTTCCTAAGTATGCCTGACACTTAATAGAGCATATCTCCTGACTTCACTGCTACCACGGCAGTAAGGAGTGCCTTAATCAATAAGAATAGAATTGGTAAAGGGGCAGGGTAGCAATAAGATGAGTGTAAAACCACAAATCCAGAATGGAGAAACGGTACACAGTAATTGGGCCCAGACACAGAAGAAGAATACAGAGGTAATATAGGTATAGCAATGCATTACAGATCCCACCCCATCCCTTGTATCAAGCAATTAGAAGGAAGCATAAAAGTGTTTTCTGATGTCTCAAAAGCTATTCTGATTACACAAATCCACGCCATCCACGCCCTTTAAATTAGTTCTTAATCTGAGATCCACAAGCCCCTAAATGGGACCATGGAGAGATTTCAAAGGATCCATGCTGTTCAATGGGGAAAAATATGTCCTAACCTTTAACTGATATTTAGCATTTTCTTCAATTATGAACGTAAATCATATTAGCAGAACTTGTGACTTGGTCGCCAATAAAATTCACAGATATTTTCATATCATTACAATTGTTGCAAATACCTCCAAATGTTATTTATACTCATCATTACTTTGAAATCACTGTAGCATGAGACTTGCCACTAGGTCACAGGATCTCAGCCTTCCTGTCTATAGATGCTCATAGGAAAGAGTTGGCCAACTCTTGGGCAGCTTTGTGCCTAGTGGTTATTCAACCAACAAAAAATGACGTCATATAGCCTCATATCGCTGATCCTAGTATCTATGTTGCTGTCCAGTGCTCCTTGTCTACAATCATTTGTTGCTCAATAGGTGAAAGGAGATGTGTCATTTTCATTGTTAAAATTTTTCAAAGCTGAGCAGTTTGAATGAGCATCCTCTGGAAGGTGGTGTGGCCTTTTATAACATGGATAAGTTCTGGGGCTGCATGTATAGACCAGGCAAGTTCAAACATGTCTGCTATATGAGATAATTATTGCAGTGTGTTATTTAGAGTAGCTAAGACCAAAATGTCTTAAGGCCTGTGAGCTGAGAGCTTCATTCTTTTATTTGTTTTTCTCTTTATACTCCCTTTTCCTATACTATCTGTGTTATAAAGGCATGTAGACTCAGTATGTCATACAAGTGGTGTTAGTGTATTATTATTATTATGTGAAAATACCACATATTTTAAAAATGAACTTTTTGAGAAAAACTGCAAAAGTGTCAGAAATGAGAAGCATTATTTCATATGGCAAAAAGAGCCTTGTAATTCTACAATAATTGCCAGATCCCAGCAAGGACATGACTTCTGGGCACTGAAACCTTAAAAGCCATTAAAAGTGCTAAAACTTTGGGAAAATTGTAAAACATGTCTTATTTCACTTCTTTGTCATGCAAATTTGTTGCATGTCTTCCACTTCACTTACAAAAATATGAACTACTGATATCCATACAGGTTTGGAAAAAAATCATTTAAAAACTATACAAATAACATTGAATTCTAGTGCTGCTTGAGAGAAGGCTATCTTCCCCTTGTAATGCAAGCAGTGGAAGATTTGATTCCATCTGCAACAACATAAATTTGTGAATATGGATTTTCAACACTTGTAACCATCAAAACAAAAAAATCAAAATCAACGTGGATGTCCAAAATGACATATCTGTTGTCTTGTCAAAGACTGCTCAATAATTTAATGTTTCTTATTCAAACTCAGCAACAATAGCCTTCACACTGATATATCTTTAAAAAATAAAATTTAACTTTAACTTGCTTATATTTTAAATGTATTATCTTGTTATTTAATCTGTTAATGAAGAAGCACTTCTATTATTATATCACAAATCTGATTTTTAATATTTTGATAACTGTATGATATTAATTTTATTTTATGCCTTCAAAAATAATTTTCTAAGAAGGGGCCCATAGGTTTCACCAAACTGACAAAGGGGTCCATGACCCAAATAAAATCAAGAATTCCTGCTTTAAGTAGATAGAGCACCGGTCCTGGAGTCAGAAGGACCTGAGTTCAAATCCAGCCTCAGACACACACAAAAAAAATACTAGCTGTGTGAACCTGGGCAAGTCACTTAACCCCATTGCCTAGACAAAAAAAAAAAAAAGAATTCCAAGAATTCCTGCTTTAGACTAACAACATAAGTGATGGCACTCAGAAAGAAATGGAAATGGGATGCCGGTTCTCTTGGAACCATAGAGAGCTTGATACTTCCCCAAAGAACCCTCTGGTATTGGAGTATCTCTGGACGGCTACAGCAATTTTGGTTCTTCCCATTGCCTGGTTTATATTGCAGATAGGATAGGGTTAATGGCAAGCAGCATCCCCTGGTGGTTAAACTGACAATACTCATTAGTTGCCTGTGTAAACCTATTGCACATCCTTTTGTGTGTTTTGTATTCCAACCATACTATGCTACTTTTCAAACTTCCATTCTTGTCTTTCCCTACTCACTCCATCCTCCATGCTTGAAACAGGATTCCCTTTTCTCACTTCATCACTTACCTGTCCCATGATAGTCAAACCTACTCTGAAAACCCTTCCTTGAAGTTCCCTGTTGAAAAGGATGTAACCTTACTCACATTTCTTACAGTATTCTGCATGGACCTCTTCTTTCTCCTTCTCCCATATTGTTACTTATTTGGAAACATGTCATATACTTCCCTCCCCTGATTAGACTGGAAACTCCTTGAGAGAAAGAAACAATTCCATTTCTCATCTTTGTTTCCCTAGCACCCAGCATAGGCCCCTGCACACAGTTGGTGCTTACTATGAGATTAAATGATCTCAAATGTGGTGCACTTTGCAAATCTAACAACTTTATATAAATGTCAGCTATTGATGGTGTTTTTTATTAACAGCAATAATCCTAAATGTTTGTTGAATTTGAATTTCTATTCCTGGGCAGTCTTCTCAGTAGCTAGTTTAGCAATGATTTCCTCATCTGGTTTCCTAGCACTTTGTGTTCTTCTCTTATATCTTTATCAGATTCTAATTTCAAAGAACCATAAAATTTTAATATTCAAATAGCCTTTAAAGACTGACCTATAAACTCCCTCAATTTACATCTGGGGAAACTGAGGTCTCAAGTCATGGAAATCTCTTTATTCTAAATCTAGTGCTTTCTCTACTGCCTGTGTACCTAGGGACATTATCTATGCTCATGTCTGCTTTGCCTAAGACCTCCTCTGGTACCTCATTGTGGTGGTGTGGTATAATAAGGATAATAGGGTTTTGAAGGTTGTACCAACAGAATTTATGCTCTAGCAAGTCCTTCAAAGCTAGAAAGGCTTGAATCCTGGGGACTCAGTCTATGTGTTTTACTTAAGAATGAACTCAGATAAGAGTGGGTAGATCCATCACCAGAAGCTTGACCACCAGGCAATGATTTTTTTCCAACAACTTACAAAAACCTCCAGCAGTACTTCAAATCTAGTTCTCTCTTCACTATACCACAGTGTTCATGTGTATATATAATTGGCATAGGTCTGTTGGGCACAAGTCTTCCTCAAATGCCTCTCACCACTGCATGAAGGTAATACCCAGACCAATGAAATCAAAGATCCTTGTAGTCCTTCCCCTACAAGATCACTAGCTTCTAGAAGCTAGAGGATACATCACACTCGTCACCTCACTGGTGGAATGAAGTGTTCTACAAACATTGAGCACAAATCCCTCTAAACAGTAGGCATCTAATAGATGTTTGTTGATTCCAAACAAGGTGGAAAAAAACTTTAAAATTCTCATCAACTCACTGACCAAACTCAGAGTTAGAAGACTGGAGATGAAGCAAGTTTCCCATCTCTTGGCAGAGAAGTAATAGACTAGAGATGCAAAATAAAACACACATTTTCAGATTTGACTAATGTGTTGATTTGTTTTGTTACAAGGGAGAACTTCAATTTTCAAGGAGAAAGGGATGATTTAGTGGGTAATGATAGAGATGCAAAAAGAAAAAGAGCATCAATAAAACATTTAAAAATACACGGAAAAAAATGGTCAGAAGGGGAAGACAGCATTTCATTACTATCTTGTTAAATTTAACATATGCTTTTTTTTTTGCAAACCACATAACAAAAGTTCATGGCTCCATATATAATCCTCTTTTTCACTCTTTGCATTTTAAAACATTTGCATTTGTTTACGATCGTTAAACTCTTAATAAAAAATTAAATGCTATAAATAAGTGTTTGTTGAATGAAATATTGTTGAATGGTGATCCCACAGCTGAATAACTTAGCCACTCCCAAACTAGAGTCTGCCATATTTTCCAAAACCTTACAAAAGAGTCTTGGTGGAAAACAGATTCTTCCAAATCCTGTCAGTACTCTATGGAATCCAAACGGGTTCTTTTAGGGAGAAAACAAACACTCCTTCATGTAAATGTTTAATTAGGAATTAATATTTATGAAGCTCTTGAAAGACATGGCTGTGAGTTTAATAAATATTAACACAGAGGAAGGTCCCCTCCCTGCCCACCCTCCCAAATCCTTGCTTGTTAATCCATATATTTGTGGAGCCATCTATTAATTATTCATTTGTTCATTTCCAATCCCAGCATCCTAGCAAGGCCTCTAGGGAGAGGACCACGGCTTCAGAGCCCCTTCCTCCAAATCACCTCCCTCCCAATAAGGATTGCTCAGGGCTTTGGTCCTGGGGTAAGGATGTATGACTAGCAAGCAAGGTAAATTCCCAGCCACATAAAAAGCAGTCTTTCAAAGGGGAGGTCAACAGTAGGTTCTCAAGTAAAACACATAGACTGAGTCCCTAGGATTCAAGCCTTTCTAGTTTTGAAGGACCTGCTAGTGCACAAGTTCTGCTGCTACAACACATATTCTATAAGCATAATTCAGAAAGCTATAATTGTCTCTATGACAGTTTGGTACATAGAGACAGAGACATTATAATAACTAAAATTATGCTGCCCAGTAAAAGGAGGGGGGAAAGCAAGGAAACAGTATTTAAGTGGGCACCATAGACTGCCTCAAATAATTAGACAAGGGCTGAACAAATTATGGTAAATTGATATAATGGAATATTGTTTTGCCATAAGAAATAATAAAGACAATTTCAGAGAATCCAGGATAATATAAACTGATGTCCAGTAAAATGAGCAGAAAGAGGAGGGTAAGTACAACAATATTGTAAAGAAAAACAGTTTTGAAAGACTTAAGAACTCACCAACACAATGATCATTCACCATTCCAGAACACCTGGGATGAAGGATGGTACTCACTTTCCGACAGAGAGCCAATCGATGGACACAAGGTGCAGAAAGAAACATACATTTTTTAACAAAATTGCTTAACTACGCTCATTTGTTCCAAATGGACACAAGGTGCAGAAAGAAACATACATTTTTTAACAAAATTGCTTAACTACGCTCATTTGTTCCAAATGTTTTTCCCCTTCTTTCTCTTAATTTTGAACTGTAAAACAGAAAAAAAAAAATTATGTTTGTACTATCTACCTCATAGGGCTGGTGTAAGAAAGCAACTATGGAAATGAGAGTAGTTGTCATTATTATTAAATATTCAATCCCACCTGGCCCTGAATCAGTCTTCCAGGTTGACTAAACTCCTTATCTTTACCTCACCTTCTCTTTCTTCCTCTTATCCCTCAAAAAGCCATGTCTATGCTACCCAAAGAACAATCTGTGGTTGAAACCATGATACTAGTAGAGGGGTCATTTGCAGATCAAACAGAGCTTACCAGTACTTGCCTGCCATGAGTGTTGTGATCAAAGGCCTTTGGGGGCAGAACTAGTGTTAGAAAGAGCTGACTACAGTTTTGTAGTGAGAGGTCCTGGGCTCCAGAGGACTCTCCTTGTCCCTTGGGGCAAGGGTCTTGGCTGGGTTTCCTCATCTGTAAAAATGAGCAGGTTGGGTTAGATGCTATAGGGTCTCTTCCAGATCTAAATTCAATAGGATAAGCATGGATTAAATACCTAATGAAAGGAAACATGGCGTAATGGATACAGAACTGACCTCAAAGCCAGGAAGATTTGGGTTTGAGTCACGTCTATGACAAATTCTGACTCTACAAGTCACTTAACCTCTCATTGTTCTAAGTAACTAAGCTTATAAATTGCTGAGAAGGTGCCAGCTTACATCAGTGGAAGTTTCCTATACCAGTGAAATCACACATCCAGTCCTTAGTCTTTATTAACACTGGAAAGACCAGGTGCTATTGATGCAAATTCTGTTAGAATTCTACTGTAATTTACAATGATTTCTCCTCTCTGTGTGAGTGTACTTTAAATACACATAATTATGAACATATCATAATTTTGTTTTGAAATAAAATTTTTCATTTGACTATCTCTATTTTTTGTTCTTTGTGGATTAAAAAAACATGTCATTTCCATTGATGAAGTTTGGTGCTTCCAAGTATCCTTAAATGTTCCTACCATGTGCCAGTCACTAGGGCTACAGAGATAAAAGCTCAATCAACATGTTACATATAAATAAATATAATAAAGTAATGGGGGTGGGGAGGGCAGCTAGGTGGCACGATGTATAGAGTGACAAGCCTGGAGTCAGAAAGACTCATGAAGGGCAGCTGGGTGGTGCAGTGGATAGAGCTCTGGCTTTGGAGTCAGGAGGACCTGAGTTCAAATCTGACCTCAGACACTTGACATTTACTAGCTGTGTGACCCTGGGCAAGTCACTTGACCCCAGTTGCTGAGAGAGAGAGAGAGAGAGAGAGAGAGAGAGAGAGAGAGAGAGAGAGAGAAGGAAGGAAGGAAGGAAGGAAGAAAGAAAGAAAGAAAGAAAGAAAGAAAGAAAGAAAGAAAGAAAGAAAGAAAGAAAGAAAGAAAGAAAGAAAGAAAGAAAGAAAGAAAGAAAGAAAGAAAGAAAGAAAGAAAGAAAGAAAGAAAGAAAGAAAGAAAGAAAGACTGCTGTTTGTAAGTTCAAATCTGGCCTCAGATTCACAAACTAGCTGTGTGACCCTGGGCATATCACTTAACCCTGTTTGCCTCAGTTTTATCTGGAAAAGGAAATGGCAATCCACTCCAGCATCTTTGCCAAAAAAAACGCAAACAGGGTCATGAAGAGTCGGACACGACTGAACAACAATGGGGGTGCCGGGGAGCACTGCCAGTCAGAAAGATCAGGACAAAAGCCCACTCAGATTGTGGCATGTGGACTGAGTTTTGAAGCTAGGGATTTTTTTTAAACATTTTATTGATAACACTTGTGTTCACATCAACTACGTTTCCCATTATTTCTCACTCCTTTCCCTCTTTCAGAATCATTCCCTTATAACAAAGATTTTTTTAAAAAAGAGGAGGAAAAGGTAGCTCAAAACAGATCGCCCAAGCTCAGTATTGTATGTGGAGTTCTCCGCCCATAGACTCCCGCCTCTGCACAGAGGGCAGGTATATGCATTCACACATCTCTTCTTTGAAGCCAAACTTCATCATTATAATTTCCTAGCATTTGGTTTCAATTGTTTCGTTGCTGTTGTTTTTTCCATTTTCAGGGTTATAGTCATCTTGTGTATTGTTTTCCTGGGTCTGAGAGGCAGAGGAGAGTAGGAAGTACAATACGGGAATGGGGGCTGGCCTTCACAGAGTCAGACAAGAGGTTCTAAAACGTGATATCTGCTTGTAATTATTTGCATTTTCCCCAGAGCCTGCATCTCGACCCGGCCTCTATTTCTTCCCATCTCTCTCTCTGCTCCTCAGTCCCACTCTCTGCCCCCAGGGCCTTCTCGGGTCCTCAGGCCTATTAGCTACTGCTGCCTTTGAAGAAGCGGAAACCTAGGACAGAGCATTAAAGATGCACATGGAGGAGGGCTCACTCCCCCTTTCCTGCTCCCAGTCTAACAGACCTTTTGGTGAAATAGGTGTAGATGTGTGTGCTCAAGTGCTTTTGTGCATAAGCCAGACATGTGTCTCTCTGTACAGTAGGGGCACCTCCACACAGCTTTTCTCTCTGGATCAAGCCAGTGGGCCAGAGATTAGAGGGGGTGGGTGGAGATGGGGGTGACAGCTGTAGCTGCCGCAGCTGGGGCGCCCGCCTTTAAACAAGCAGAGTGCAAAGCTCTGCCTGAGCTGATGCTGCCCAGAGAAATCATCCAGGGGCCTTTCAGCTCTCCCGAGGCCATGCTTGTCCTCCATACACCTTCTTAAGGGCAGCTGCTGTCTAGCTGCCTAGCACTGGTTGAGAAATTACAGTGCTCCTCTCCTGAACTGGCCTGGCCTCCTTTCAGAGCCAGGACCAGCCTGCCAACGTGGAGCTTTGGTGCCCCCTTGTGTCCCAGAAGGACATATCACTGAAGGAACGGAGATAATTGAAGTTTGTCTGAGCAGGGAGATGGAGGAGGAATCTTCAAACCAGAGATGCCTTATCTCAGGTCCCTCAACTCTGAGGTGGTTTCTCACATTTCCAAGTCTCTGGGACAAGGGAATTAGAAGAGATTCCCTAATATGCAAGATCTATAATCTGAGGCCCAGGAGCCTTGGGAAGGGCCCTCACACTCAAAGCCCTTAATCACAAACCCAATGACCCTGTAAAGAGCCCTAGAAATGTGAACCCCTGATCCCAAATCCAGAGACCCTGAAAAGAACTAACATACCTCAAGTCCCTAATCTCAGAGAATTCTGAATTATCCAATGTCAGATAAAGGAGCCCTGAAAGGAAAAATCACCAATATCCTAATCTCAGGCCCAAGAGGCCTGAAAGATGCTTTCATATTTGAGAGATTTCATTCCAGGCCCAAAATCCCTGAGAAGGGCATTTACATCCCAGATACCTAATTAGGCTCCCTAACCTTGGGCCTGGCAGCATTCATAATTAAACTCCCTAATCAGACTTGGTATTGCTGGGAGAGGCCCTTTCCACCAATCCCAGGTCCAGGAACCCTAATAATGCTCTAATATGTGAGCTCCCTATTCACAGGCCAAGGAACTTTGAGACAGCCCCCTCACAACTAAATTTACTAATCTAGTGTCATGGGCCTTAAAATTGACTCTCACACTCCAGTCACCTAATAGCAGGCCTAAAACCTGTAAGAAGGGATGTTCTTGTAACAAGTCTAATCCCAGGAAGTTTAAAGAGTCTTCCTCACACATGGAGGGGTCGTTGTTGTTTGTCCTTCGTTCTTGAAGAGGACCATGGCACCCAGAAGGTGATGCCATGACTTGCAAACGTATTGGATTTAAGTGAGGATGAGCTGTGTGAAGTCACCAGCTTCACTTTCTTCTCTAGAAGTATCTGGGTCCAATGACTAGATACACAATCAGGACAACTGAAGATGGCCCTAGATGCAGTGGAGACCTTGCCCTACTCAAATTGAGGTCTCTCCCAGTTCTCTGTTTGTCTGAGGCAACGTCCATTCAGTGATTAAGGCTAGGTAAGAAATGAGGCAAAGAATGGCCTCTTACTTAGTCAAAAAAGTAAAATCAATCTGGGAAGGGAACAGCCTCAGGAAGTGTGCAAGACACACTTTTAAATTTAATCTGCATTATTAACATTTTTCCATCACTTTCTTAAATGTAAGTAATCAAGAAATCAATAAAAACAAGCCGTGATTTGTAGCTTTTTCTGATTTGCAAGATATAAATACTCATGCTGGAAATTTAACTATCAGCTTTTGAGTAGCTCCAACACACCACTGCCTGCAAAGGGCCCCTCATAACCTAAATCTATTTTTTTTATTTTTACTTTTTTTATTTCGCTAGGCAATGGGATTAAGTGACTTGCCCTAGATCACACAGCTAGTAAGTATTATGTGTTTGAGGCCGGATTTGAACTCAGGTCCTTCTGACTCCAAAAGCTGGAGCTCTATCCACTGCGCCACCTAGCTGCCCCAACCTAAATCCTTAGTCCAAGGGACTTCAGAGAAATTTCCTTACACTTGAACTCCCTAATCTTAGGCCATGGAATGAGAGGGACTCTTATACCTGAAGTATCTAATCCTAGAAATAGGAAGAATGAATCCATGACGTGTAGTAGGCACTTAACAAATGATTGTTGTAAGCTATTCCCCAATAGATAAGTGTTGGGTTTTTTTTAAAAGCATATAAACAAGCAGTTTCCAGTGGAAGAAATTCTATTAGTAACCATATGAAAAATGCTCCCAGATCACCAACATTTAGAGAAATGTAAATTAAAACAACTTTGAAGTACCACCTCCAAATATAACGAAAAAGGAAAAAAGACAATTGTTGTCGGAGCTACAAGAAAACAAGCACTTTTTGATGAAGGTGTGCACTGGTCAATCCAATTTGGAAATCAGTTTGGAAATATACTCAAAAAGTCACTAAACTGTACACTCAGCATAACACTTATGCCCTAAAGAGCAAAAAAAGAAGAAAAGAGAAAAAATAAATATTCATAGCAGCTCTTTTTGTTATAGCAAAAAAAAAAAAACCAGCCTTGGAAATTAAAGGAGCATCCACCAATTGGGAAATGACTGAACAATTTATTCTATGTAGAGGATAGAAGGAGAGGGAATGAGCGTTTATACAGCACTTACTGTGGGGCACAATATCGAAAACTGTTATACTGTATGAAATGACTAAGGGAATGGTTTCAAAGAAACTTGGGAGACTTGTAGAACTGATCAGAGTGAAGCAAGAAGAACCAAGAGAAAAAAATTTCATAATTTTAAAAAAAAAAGTTGTAAAGACCAATAACTTTGAAAGACAAGATTTACCAATGCAAAGACCAATCACAATTCCAAAGGAATGATAATGAAGCATGCTATCCACCTCCTAACAGAAAAGTGATAGACACAGAATGCAGACTAAGGCATATGTTTTATTTATTTATTTGTTTGTTTGTTTGTTTGTTGTTTGCTTATTTTTAGTTTTCAACATTCATTTCCATAAGATTTTGAGTTCTGAATTTTCTCCC